TTATTGTGGAGCAGGTTGAACGCATCGGCAGTATAATAGATGCATCTATGGTTCGTTCCGGTCGACTCTAAGTAGTGTACACATTATTTTGAATCGAACCGTACGATTTCGGCATAAATCATACGTAATAATGCTCGAAGTCCGATAATACTTGATATTATTTTCATGAATTGAGAAATTATAATTTACTTGATGGCTCGTATTTGTGAAAGTTAGTAGGTGCTAATTGGGAGCTCTTAATTGACATCTAGTTAAAGAGTCACTTATTTACTGTTCATTATTGCATTATTATTATTATTATTGATAAATTTCATGCCTATTTAGAAATTCTATACTTTATTTATTGACCCATAGTAAGTGTCGATGCCGACCCCTCGTCACCAGTTCTTCGAGGTTATACTAGATACTTACTGGGTACATATTACTTATGTACTCATGCTATACTTCTGCAATAATCGTGTAGGATCTGAGGCAGGTGCAGCTGGCAGTAGTTCAGGAGCATACCCCCCATTACCCCGAGGTGTAGTAGTGAGCCGCTCTCTGTGTCTATTTTGTAGCACCCGCAGTCTCTCTTTTGTATTTATTTTTCTGCCTATCTATTCCAGATAGTAGTATAGATGGTTTTTATATATTCTAATAGTTGCTCATACACTTGTGACACCGAGTTTTGGGAATATTCTAGTAGATACTTTATAATTTTTGAGTATTAAATTCACTGTATTTACTCTTTCGTTAGTTGTGCTTTACTTTACTATAACTTTCCACTAATCGTTTTCTTATTAAATAAAAATGAACTACTTTTAATTTATTTTTTTTTAAAAACAAATACATGACTAGTTCACCATTGGCTTGCCTAGCGGCGATGATGCGCGCCATTACAGCCTATAGGGGAAATTGGGTCATGACACTAAGAGAGTTTAAGAAATTGAGTTTGATCTTTAATTCTTTGTTTCGATGTTTTAACTTGTGTTTCGAGCCTGTGGACAAGTTTACATACGATATATCAACTTGTTAGAATGATTGAACGGGGTTCCTTGGACCTTGGGTGATTTTGGGATGGTTTCGGACCACGTTAATATTTTTTGGTAGTGCTGATAATGGGTGTCGGGGGTGTGCAACGCGATCGTGGAGGTCTGGGCCACGATCACGAAGATTGAAGTGCAATCCAGGCCTTGTAAATCGCAATTGTAGAAGGAAGGGTCGCGATCGCGTAGAATAAATTTCTGCTAACAGTGGTCTGACTTCAGGAGCTTATATCTTGCAATCTATAAGAACTTTAAAGATCATCAGAATATGAAAGTTGTAACCCTTTGAATCTTGTTTTGAGAAAAATTAAACTGTTTATCATTTGAAATTGTGTATAAAAAGTTATAGCCATTATATGGCATTTATATGGTATTCCTTATCCATTCGAGAGTACATTAGATATTTCTGATATGTTGAGATAGCATATGGGATTTGAAAGATTTATATCATTAAAAGAAATTTTGGAGGATTATGTTAATTACAGTTTTTATCTCACCGCTACTATTGTGCTTCTTATCTATTATGAGTTGTCATATTGATTTATTGGACCGCTAGTAAGTGTCGATGTCGACCCTTCATTACTACTTCTCCAGGATTAGGCAGGATACTTACTAGGTACACGTTGATTTACGTACTCATACTACACTTCTGCACTAAAAGTGCAGGGTTTGACAGGTTCATCTGGTGGCCATCTTGGCACGTAGGCACAACTGCTGAGGGGACTTTATGGTGAGCTACTTTCTATGCTACGCACCGCAACCCACAGAGTCTCCATCTTATTTATTTACTGTATCCTGTCTATTTTATATTTCAAACATATGTTGTATTATTATTGCACTCTTTAGTAGATGCTCATGTATATGTGACACCGAATTTGGGATGTTCTAAAATTTTGTTTTGTGGTTTTGCTTAGCATTGAAACACTTTTATTATTGTTTCTACTTAAATTGTAAGTTTCTATGATTTTAGTGCACTAAATTCTCTATCAGATAAAAATTCACGATTTGAAAAATAATAAAAGGAATAATTAAGTTGGTCGTTGGGTGTCATCACAATCTATAGTGACAATTGGTAGTGACAATAAATATATTACTGCCAATTAAAAAACCCAATCAGTCCTCAAAGGTCTCATACACACAGATAGACGAGCATAGTCAGTGCCTCAGTGGGGTCAAGACCATCGGCTTCACAAAACTCGTATTGTTCTTCCTTTAGAGTTATGTAGGAATTGTTTATTCTCTTGTTTGCAATCCGCAAGAAATTAAAATTGGCAAGTGAATACGTCGATTGCAATTTTCTTCGTAACACCAATATCTATGCCGATTTCCTTTTTCCTTGAAACGTCACTTGTTCTTATCCTTTCTTTTTTCCTTTTTTTTTTTTGGAACCAAAGTAAAAATAAAATAAAAAATTAAAAAAGAGACATAAATGCAGATGATGAATGAAAAATGAAAAAGTTCCGAGTCCAAAAAAAAAAATTATTTTTAATTCAGTTCCCTCACTGTTGCCTAAGTTTGTTGGATTAACTCCTCCCATGATAGAATGTAACAACTATTTCATAATAGTGACACTACAAATCACAGAACTTCAGTGAACTCAACAAACATAGCAAATCACACTTTACATTTATGTTTATTTGAAAAAAATAGTGCAATATTATAGGAAAGAAGGAAGAAGTTTTCAGAGGCTTAAATTTATAGGCAATGAATGGATGTACAATCCAAGAGGTGCCTCATCCATTTTTCGTTCACAACCTTTGGAGAAAAAAAAAGTCCAACAGATATAATCTGCCATTATTCAAAAAAAAGGGCTAATGCACAAAAAATTCTAGCCCGTGCAAGCATCTAAATCTTAGCTTTTAAAGAAATTGGTTTTATCGTACCTAAGTTTAACACTAGGTAATTGCATCTTGTCTAACAGTCAAAGTACATATGAGTCTCAACCAATTTCCAAACAGCATGTTTTGGGTGAAGTATTATTTTTGTAATAACCATCGTTGTGTATTATAAAGATTTACCAATAATTATATTAAGTTACCTAATTGGCTAAGTATATTTTACACGGTATATAGAATTTAAAGTAGATTGAGAAATCTCATATATTGTTATTTTACAATAATTCATTAAAAAGAAAGCTTACTTGATAGCTACTTCAAATATATCAATCGAACCAACATGAAAACAAAATATGGCTACAGCATATACTGAACCTATCAAAGCTTTTCTGGAATTGAATATTTTCAACCATCCTTCATTAAGAAATTATTTCTGATTTTTCTTTTATTAGCATATCTTTTTCTTTTTTTTTTCAAAATTCAAATGATATTAGCTTGTTCGATACAAGAAACAGATATATTATGATTAATCTCAAATATCACTCGAACCAACACGATGACAAAGATGGCTATAGATAGCATATAAATAATCAAATACAAATTAGTTTTTAAGGAGTAGATAAATACTATCATACACCCTTCACTACTATAAACCCCTAGTTGGTGGTATCATCAAGGTCACCTTCAAAGGCCCAAGGAGTTTCCCTTTTAAACTCTGCCACTTCTTCTGGGGTGAAATCACTTTCAATTTTAAAAATCTTCTGAACAGCTTCAACGCTCTTGTCCTTTATTCTGTCAGCCACAGCCTGGCAACAGAGTTCCAACAAATCATTAATTTTCAGATAATTTACTGCCACAGTTATGTCAAGCAACTCCTCTAAGGCAACATTCACAAACTCTTTCTCAAAATTCTTGAAGTCTTCTTTGTTTAAGGCAGCGAGCTCTGCATGCTTCTTGAGGTAATCAATGATTTTAACCAGCGTCTTGCTTTTGATGCTAGGCAATGGGATGCTGGAAATGCGTTCCTCTTTCACCATAGTCTTGATAAGATCAGACTGTAAGACCAAAGATTCCTCAAGGTAAAATTCTTCGTTATCACCGCTCTTCAATGTCAACATCTTCTCTCCCGCTGTTGATGATGATGATGGTGCCATGATAAAAACTTATCAACCTTTTTATTTCTTTTTCTTGGATGAAACATTTGGGGAACCACATGATGTATAAATAATGGTACAAGAGATTTTCTTAATCGGATCATACTTAAAGGATATGGAAGGAATTCTTTCTGGCATAAATTTCTTACTAGAATTATCTTTATTTGTAATCTGTTTATGGATCACAATATAATTATGTGATTGAATAATATAAGTCAATCTCATTCATTTAATTCATTTACTGAGTTGTAAGCTCTAAAAGATTTAAACTTACTTAATTTATTAATAAACTACGGAACTTTCATTTAAATATGCTATAATTATGTAATCATATTTCCACGTTGGATATTAGATATGGTGAAAATGAAAAACGAAGTCCATCAATTTGAGCGTCTAATAAATGGGGGTAAATAACATTTATTTGTAACAATGTAAACTTAAATTTTGTAAATGCAATAACATAATATTCGAATATACATATAGTCATTCTTTGCATGATTTATCTGGTAATACTCCTTTATATAATTCATTTCTAAGTTGTGCTTGCTCATACTTCAAATATTCTATCCTCATTTGTGTGATTCTTGTATACATCTCATCCATGGAGGGTTCAGGTTGTTTTTCTACCTCTGTAACAAAAGACTAATTGTAGTTTTAATATAGCTAAGAATAGTAAAGTAATAAAATTATTTAATTTAGCAAAAATAAGACCTTGGCAATTATTCAAGGAAGTTTGATGTCGTTGATCTATAATCTGTTTATCCATTGTATAAATCCTATATAATGTAAGACAAATTTTAGTGTGCAAATATAAGCATATCATGAATTATATTATTAATGTATATTTAATATAGATCTCTATAATTATGTATTATTTTATATGCTTAAATCTTTATGCTACTTTAGAGACAAAAGTATTTGTACAAAGAAATGTGATTTGTGTAGAACAATGGAAGAATAATGTATAGTTTAGGAATAAACCTGATGTTTAAAAACTGCTCCTCTTCGTGGTTGTGTTATGTTTTGTGTTATTTTGAATCATCTTCCCATCTTCCTTGTATGGTGTCTTTCTTGAATTTAGATCTTAAAAAAAAGATGTGTATCAACAATTTGAATGAGAATAGGAGGATGATTAGGGATTTATTTTATTTTTTTAATAGGAAAAAGCCGTTAGTGATTTGGTGGAATAATGAGAGAATGGGAAGGTAAAGAGGAAAATGAGAGAATAGGTGTATAAAAAGATAAATAATAAATAAGAAAGAACATACATTAAAGCGAAATCTTTTTCGGAATCTCACCAGTGTAAAATTCATAAAACAGGACAATATTCATCAATCAGTCGATTGTTTTTAAAACTCTTTTAATGTTATAATTATTGTTTTGTATTATAGATGGCCGTAAAGTATTAAGACCAACATAAGAAAAGTTAAATTTTGTAACTAAAAGTACCTCAGCGAAAATTCAACCAGCTGACCACATATGAATTGCATTTGTGTATTATGTAGCCCTAAAGATCAATTCATGCGTCCTGTAATAGCGAGATCAAATGTAGGTATATTGGGCTCCACATACACCTATGGTAATTGAAAAACAATTTGAGTACATGCAAACACATATAAAAGTTATAGTTCTCAAAAAACAACACGTACCAACATCTTTGCACTTCCAAAAGCACAAATCTTTAATTGTTTAAATAGAGGTTTAAAAAATTAATGTTGAACTTGCTTTTGATGCAATAAGAGATTACTACCTGTAGACCAATTCAACAATTATCGAGATGGATAATTCCGTTTCACAAGACTTAATATGGTATACGAATGCTTATTATACCTATAGAAATAAACATATATAACTGAATCTTATATCCGTACTCTATTAACACAAGGTTAAATAATCCTCTTTCTTTTATGTTTTTGTCATTTTTTTATTGAATTCGGAGATTGGTGAAGGAGTAGGGCCTATAAAAATAGTAAAAAATGAACTCATACCTATTATGTGGCGTTGATAAAAGAAAAGACGTAAATATTTTGAGATGAAAAGACACGAAGAGAATCTATGTATAAAAGTATAAGAATCATGAAGGTACCTTTTTGTCAATAAATATCATATCCAAGCCAATCAATTCTCCGTTTTTCTTGGGATTAAAAGAATCCCACATTCTGCAAATTCTAACCCTAAAATCAACCCATTATCCCTATGAAGAGCTAACTCTGAAAGAAAAGAATATGTCATTCTAAGAAAATAATGAAAAGCAAGAGAAAGCAAGCTAGTTACCGTATGAACAACATTCATCACCATCTATATATAATCCATCAAAAAAGAGTATCAATAGGCAGAAGATTAATCATCAATTTAATAATCAGAAATTAATACACAATAAATATCATTGTAATTAGGAATTATGAGGATGAATGGAGAATTATTTGGAGAAGATTGTAGAAAAAATCATATGGCTACAACATGCCATAAACTGAAGAAGGGATTTTACCTTGGCATGAAGCTGTGAAACGTGGGGTATGTTAAGAGGAAACAAAAAAACGGCAAATTGAAGTTTTATCGTGAAGGGTAAAACAAAACGGTTAGTGGGCTTAATGTTTGGGATGTTTAGTAGCAT